GGAAACTAGCTTGTAGTCAAAATCCAGGAGGAAAGAAACCAGATGTTTCTTTTTTATGACAGTCATCTACAATTTATATATTTATCATTATTTTTGATTTCTGATCGAAAATTCTTCACTGGTTATAGATCCATCTGGTTAATTTATGGAAATATGGAGATAATGAAATGTTTGCTATGAGCATTGTAAATTGTCATTTTCTGGAGCCAGGCTAGGTAAAGTGAAGTCATTAATCATTGTTATCAGGAAAGATTTTCTCATATAAAACAATATGCATTTTCCATGGCTGTTATTTTCCATGTGGAGAGAAACAAGCCAGATTTGATGACACATTCATCTTTTTCTGAACACACAGAAACAGTGAATACATAGAAAAACCTTAGGGGTCAAATTGTGAAGACTTATTTTTTTACTCTTAACATTAAATTCTGTTAAGTTTAGAGAATTTTTTTGGTTCATTTATCAAAGAAAATTTCTTCCCCTTTGTGCCAACTACCAACAACCAGAAGCAAAGGATTTAACATGCAATGCAGGAGATTGATTTCAGTGATTTTCTGCAAGGGGACAATGATAGAATATGGGTTCAACTTTTGAGAATCCCTATCAAACAGACAAATGGAACTGGGAAAGGCTTAATCTCTGTTCAAGTGAATCGGGACAGAGAAATATACTTGCCTTGTTGGCATTTGTTTCCAGGCATGATGTAGTCAGCTGATATTGATGAATTACCTGATCAATCTGGTCATATCTGATGCAGCAAATCAACCCGTTGCAATTGAGAAAGACTGATCACACACCCAGCATCCTGTTATATATGATGTTGTGTCACCAGGATAATACCCTATCAAGTCAATCTGGGATGCTACCGAGCTAAAAGAACCCAACCACTTTGTTATATAGGAAATAATTCTCTTTTTTCAATAGATTCTATTTTTTCTTTTGTTTTTTTTTTATCATATAATCATGTTTTTTAATCATTTTCACCCCAAGCAAGGTGACAATGCCACTAAGATGCAAGGGGTTACTGGGAGCGAAAGAGAATGAGAAAATATTAGCGAGAACAGAATTGCATTTTGAAGATTTGAATAAAGTAGGTCCAAAGATAGACACCTGAAGGAGACCAGCATTAATGCGAAAGAGTGATTGTTCAACATCACTTTCATTACAACATTTTTTTTTAGAAAGATTGGATCAAATCAAAAATACTCCTTCAGCTCATGAAGAAGACCAGTCAAGCACCTTCAAGATATCTAAAGCCATAGCCATTTTTATCTTTGGGTTATCTAAAGCTGTTTTTATCTAAAACTTGACAGACTCTTCCAACACTAAACATTAACACATCAGCAGTTGATCAAGAGAAGCAAAAAGAGTTTTTTATAGTTTCATCAAAAAGAAAGCCATGTGAAGTGAAATGATTAAACAATTTGGACTTGATTAAAGCCTCTAGTACTTTGCCAAAAAGAAGTAGAATACTCATAGCACAATAATTCAAGGGATCAAAATGTTTACCTGATTTCTTAAAGATGAGATCTACAAAGGATGAGTTACAACAATCTGGAAAGTAAGAAGCAGCAAGGCATTTGTTTACAGACAACAGAAACCAGTCTGGGAAAAATTTCTATAGGACAGTTGCAAGGATTTCAACAAGTCCACAAGCCTTATGGGGATCTAGTTTGAAGATGATAGCAGAAACCAGATTCATGTGCAAATCACATAGTAGAGATTCAGTTCTGGTTTAAAAATGGTGGTACAAGACGGATTATTTATTACATGCTCTAAAATTTCTGAACCAGAAGTAATAACAAATGTATGCAAATTTTCATACTACTCTTGATGGATTTTGACCAGTATGTGCTAATCAGTCCTCGCCTCCAAAATTGATTACCTTGAAAACCAAGCTAGTAATATTTTATAACCACTGAGCAGGCCGTAAGAGTTCTCCAAGCATGATGAAAGGTTGTACTCTCAATGAGGTTCCTAGCCTTGAATGTTAACTGGGACTCAAGCTCACATCAGACCTCAAGTGGAACTTGTATATATGATTCATCAGTAAAGATGCTGAAAAAATTTGTTGCTTTCTTGTGCTGCTGCTCCAAAAAGTACCTGATGTCTTCTAACATTCTCCATCTTTACAGGGGTCAGATCAAAAAAAAAAAAAAAATGAAGTATATGCTGCTATATCTGGGCTGAAGCATTCCAACCCTCACTTTTCAGACTTGACAGAGTTCAAAAGCATTTATGGGTTCTTGTGGATGATAAATTATTTTCCATCCTACAACCCCTTTCCCCACATATGAAACTTTCCTAGCCTCTCACTTCAGACAAGCAACATTCCTCAGTTCTACCAGTCCAGACCTTCTCAGCTAGGACCTGCTATGACATATACACAGTATCAACCATTAATAAGGAAGAAGTCCCACACAGACATCTTCTTCTCCAGAACTGTTATGTTGCAGAACAGACTACCAAGAAGATGCTTTCTTGATTCCACTGTTTGCATCTAGGATCAATCTATCTTACTTATCTGGATATATAGGTATCACCAGAATGGATTGTTGCGACCTCTGATTTGGTACTTCTGCTATGTCTCTAGAGATCTTGACAAAATTCAAACATGAGTCTGCAATGTTATCAATCCTAACCTGGCATCACAGCTTCAATCAATCTCTCACTGCCTATGCATTTCTCACTGTGATTTTCTATGAATATTTTCATGGCAATTGTTCTGATGAGTTTTCTTTGATAGTTCAACTTCATAAATTTAAGTGTAGTACTAGATTGGCAGCTAGGTCTCATCATTTTATTATTGGAATTGATAGATGTATCCACAAGCTCTATTCTAATAGGTTATTCTGTCACACTTCTTGCCTGTGGAACTCTCTCCCAAATTTTTACTTTCCTGTCGACTATGATCGTCAAAAATTTAAATGTCAATTGCCATCTTCTGTTTCTCAATCCTGTCTCTTATTGCCCTCACTTACATTTTATGGTCTACTGTCAGTAAACCCTTGCATCAGTGGCTTTATCATCAGCCTTTGGGTGAATTGGTTAAAAAAATCTTGATAGTCTTCACCTCTTACTTCCTCTATTTATGCACTTTACAACAACCTCTTCAGAAACTAATCTACCTTGAGTGGCTCTTAGGACTCGTATTGAATGAACAATAGTATAAAATTGTTTTGCCAGCATATTCAGCCTTGCACTAACATTCTTTTTTCTTAATTTTTTTCAGTAATAATCATAACTTTTATCGCATTTCAAGAATTTTGGATTCCCTGCAATTACTTGGACATGGAGATTTGGTGTTGCCATGGATGAAACTCCTGACTCATCTCATTTATAACAGAAAATCATTGGATAAGGCACAGAGTAGTTTTCAAAATTACTGGATTCATCTTTTGAATGGGAATGATCATGCTAAACTACTCGAATACATTAAATCCATAAATGTCCGCTTCCCGGGTTTGTAAGAAAGTTTAATTTTGAGAAAGACTTCATGAGAGAGTTTTGTGGGTATTGAAATATTTGGTAGCTAACAAAATACTAACAAATTAATAATAGATTGTTGTTCATTAAAGCAAGAAATCTTTCTATTATGGTAATTTTTCTATTATGGTCAAATATAACAAAAACATGAAAATCAGGGCCAATATTAAGCCAAGTACAGCTTTCTGATGTTCTTCATTCCAGCCTCTCTGAAAATGACCACAAAATGCTTTTCCCTCCCTATTTTATAGGCAAAATGCATGCTGGGTTTTTTTTCCAAGCCAATAATATAGGCTGGTTTTTGGTTTCATCTGACACAGTCTCTGTTTGTCTTGTTTTGAAGTCAGAACGCCATGTTCGCTTGTTCAAATTTGCTTTTGTGTTTCAACCAATTTTTGCCTTATTATTGTTAATTTGCTTTGCATATACTGTTTGCTGAAATGAGCAAAGAAGAACACCAACACAGAAGAAGAAAAATATTTTTCATAAGAAATCCCGATGCTTTTGGGATATGTTCATAAACAAGAGAATCAAAACTGACTAGGCAGAAGATTTTTCGCACAATAGGTTGCCCTTTCTTTCTACGATAGGCTGGTTTCCAACCAAGGCCATAGGACCCAGTCAGTTTGACTATTCAACTCATAGATGGGGGAGTAGAGATGGATTCATACCTTTTTCAAGGGTATTTGTGTGTAAGTGAATGCAATGAACCTGACTGGAATTTGAACTCACTTCTCTGATTTCTCATTCTGAGCCATTATCCATTGTACCACCCTTCCCACTTTTATCTGGACAATGCTTTTCTCATAAACGGGTTCATTTATGTTTCTAATATAAATTTATGGTGAAAATATGTTTCTGAATCCATTCCATTATTACTGAGCAAATCCTGAATTTTCCCTTACTGTCAGGAAGGTCTCACATGTTGAATGACTATCAGGACTTAAACTCAACCTTGACCTCAAGTGAAACTCATACATATGATCCATTGCTAAAGATACTGAAAAAATGGTCGGTTCCCTGTACTGCTCTAGTAAGTACCTGACTCTTCTTACTATCCTCTACCTTTACAAGAGTCAGATCAAGCCAAAAATGGCGTACTACTGCCATATATATGCAGGAGCTGTCCTGTCTTTATAGTCCAAGAGCATCCTCATATCCCTGTGGGTGATTATTTATTTTCCACCCTACAACCCCTTACCCATAGATTGATCATTGCAAGACCCTCACTATTTTATTGTTATTTACATAGAAAGTGTTCAGAAGACCTACATTCCTTAGTTCTACCAGTTCTAACTTTCACGGCTAATACCAGCCATACCATTGTAGTGAACCACCTTATTCTGTTTGTATTCCATACCTTCAGGTTAATACAAGCCATACCACACCTATTGTAGTGAACCACCTTATTCCCTTTGTATTCCATAGCTTCAGGCTAATACCAGCCATACCACGCCTATTGTAGTGAACCACCTCATTCTCTTTGTATTCCATAGCTTCAGGCTAATACCAGCCATACCACACCTATTGTAGTGAACCACCTTATTCCCTTTGTATTCCATACCTTCAGGCTAATACCAGCCATACCATTGTAGGGAACCATCTTATTCTCTTTGTATTCCATAGCTTCAGGCTAATACCAGCCATACCACACCTATTGTAGTGAACCACCTTATTCCTTTGTATTCCATACCTTCAGGCTAATACCAGCCATACCATTGTAGGTAACCAATTTTATTCTCTTTGTATTCCATAGCTTCAGGCTAATACCAGCCATACCACACCTATTGTAGTGAACCACCTTATTCCCTTTGTATTCCATAGCTTCAGGCTAATACCAGCCATACCATTGTAGGGAACCACCTTATTCTCTTTGTATTCCATAGCTTCAGGCTAATACCAGCCATACCACACCTATTGTAGTGAACCACCTTATTCCCTTTGTATTCCATAGCTTCAGGCTAATACCAGCCATACCATTGTAGGGAACCACCTCATTCTCTTTGTATTCCATAGCTTCAGGCTAATACCAGCCATACCACACCTATTGTAGTGAACCACCTTATTCCCTTTGTATTCCATACCTTCAGGCTAATACCAGCCATACCATTGTAGGGAACCACCTTATTCTCTTTGTATTCCATAGCTTCAGGCTAATACCAGCCATACCACACCTATTGTAGTGAACTACCTTATTCCCTTTGTATTCCATACCTTCAGGCTAATACCAGCCATACCATTGTAGGGAACCACCTTATTCTCTTTGTATTCCATAGCTTCAGGCTAATACCAGCCATACCACACCTATTGTAGTGAACCACCTTATTCCCTTTGTATTCCATACCTTCAGGCTAATACCAGCCATACCATTGTAGGGAACCACCTTATTCTCTTTGTATTCCATAGCTTCAGGCTAATACCAGCCATACCACACCTATTGTAGTGAACCACCTTATTCCCTTTGTATTCCATAGCTTCAGGCTAATACCAGCCATACCATTGTAGGGAACCACCTTATTCCCTTTGTATTCCATACCTTCAGGCTAATACCAGCCATACCATTGTAGTGAACCACTCTCATTCCCTTTGTATTCCATTAGTGATATGCAAGTTCCACTCAAGCAACTTTTTCCCATGAACAGCTGCTTTGTAGAACCGACTCCCAAGAGGATGCTTCTCCGATAACTACAATCTTAACCTGTTCAAGCCTAGCATTAACTGTTATCTTCAACACATAGCTGCATTAATGGTGCCTCTTACTCTATAACCCTTTACTTCAAGTGACTTTTTCACATTGTACAAGGTGTATATTATCGTAACAAAAGTTCTAGAATTATCATATAATTTGAACAACATTAAATAAAACAAAAAATAACATAAAATATTGACTTGGTTTTTGAACAGGAGTAGAAGTTTATCCCTTGTTTCTTGTTTTAGATTGGGTTTCCAATTACTTCTATAGTCCACTTCAACTTGATACTTCTAAGGTCCATCCCTTAACTATGAAATTTATTTACTATTTATTTATATTTCCTCAATAGGAGTAGATAGGTTTGCCTATTGTCCATTTCACACTCCTCCTCGGTCTTTTGAACAGAGGGTAGACATTTATTCTTGGTTTCCTGTTTAGCATTGATTTTCTGGCTCCTTCTAAAATGTTTTCCTTCTCTTTCACTTTTGGTGTCCCCTAATGTTTTGATAGCATTATCACTTTGATTGGGTTGGTGCCTTTTTTGCTCCAGGCACTTGTTGTAGACTAAAGATGATCAGATAAATCTCCTAAACAAGACACCGTGTTGTCAATCATGATAGTAGTAGATAAATTCACCTATCATCCAATTCACATTCCTCTCTGGTCTTTTGAACAGGAGTAGAGGCTTACTTCTTGTTTCCTGTTTACAATTCAATTTCTGCTTCCTTCTAAAGTCTTTTCATTCTTTTTGGCTCCCAGCAACCCCATGCATCTTAGTAGCATTATCTGCTTGCTTGGGGTGAATTTATTAAAAAAAAAAAAATTGCCTGTTTTTTTTTAGGCTCTTACGGTTCCTTCGTTTATGAATGTGTCCTAACAAAAAAAAAAATTAGAAATACATTTTTTTAACGCTGGAATGGAATTCTTAAAAATGATATCAAGGGAAAGTTATATTTTAAGAAAACCTTATTTAACCAATTAATACAACTAATAAGCAATTAGTGTTGAGGAAGTTTTAATCCTAACAGAAAAGTGTGTTTTGCAAAAAATCATTTTATAAAATCCAAACAGTAACCTTTAACCTTTACCAAAAAGTAAATACAAATAAAAGACTGCATGTAAACTTATCCATTTATTATGAGTAGGACGTCTGCTCATATGAACAGTCTTGAAGTGAGTCACAAGGCATAGTGTTGTCATACACATTGCCACACTGAATTTTGGTATTTTCTATTATTGTATTACTAATCTATGTCTCTCATGTAATTAAAAGTGTTCTTCACTAATTTTTTGTTCCAGTGTATTACTGTGGCCATGAGGTGGTTAAATATTAATTCTAAGTAGAAAAAGGGTTAAGCCCAAAATGAAATGTAAGCTGGAAGATAGAGAGAGTGGTGTCATTTTCCTTGGTGGATTTCTTCTCTCCTAAAGTTTATTTTTCTTATCTATCAAGTATCTGGCAAGCAGATAAAAAATTGATTTGGAGAAATGGTTTTATCTCTTCCTTGAGAAATTAAGAAAACAAATATCATTAACTAGAAGAGAAACAGATGGGGCTTATATTTTCATTGACAAAATCGAACTGGGATGTTCAAACAAAGAACAAACCCATTTTGAGAATTGAAGTTATGAAGATCGTTCCTGTCATGACAAGCAGATTATCTGGTTTATATTTTCACAAGACAAAAATCATCCCAGGGATGGAGAAACAATTTTATCTCTTCTTTGCAAATTTAGGCAAACAAATATCATTAATGAGAAAAGAGGCAGATGAAGCTTATACTTTTGCTGTAAGTTTGAGGAATGGAGTACCCAATTGGTGTTGGATAATGCACCAGATATTACTGAAGAAAGCTTGTGTAGATGGTTAACATGAATGGGATGTAGGCCATATAAAACACCCCTATATCATCCTCTGTCAAATGGAATTGCAGTGAGGCTGGTCTAGACCAGCAGTCACCAACCATTTGAACTTTATGGATCACTAAATGCATAAATTTAAATTTGCTGGACCACTAATATGAATTTAGAAAAAAAAGGTAAATACATTTATATAATAATAATCAGAAAAACTTTTATTTTATTAACATAAAATGCAACCATTAAAAGGTAACAAAGTTGTAGTATAATTATTTAAATAAAACAAATTGAAAATTTGAAGTTTGCAAGTTGTATTAGGTTATGCTACGGCTGGATGATATCACATTTGTGTACTAGTGTTTATTTCAAGATTACATAAGGGCTTGAACATATATAACATCCATAATGTTTTGTTACAAGTCTTTTTTGAATCTGAACCTTCATAAAAATTGAAATAATGTCCCAATTTTTCTGTGGACCATCAAAAATTTTGCATGGACCACCAGTTGGTGATCACTGGTCTAGACGATAAAAGTTCTGACTTGATTCTCTGTATTGGCAATACAAAGAATTTTATCTTAACAATTCTTGTCTTTTCTTTTCACCTCACCAATGATACATTTTTTGTTTGTTCTCTAGTGCCACTATACACACGTTTATAATACCTTTGATTTTAAAAAGTCTAAATAGGGTTCTCTCTAGATGATCTAGTTTAGTATATGGTGGTAAAAATACTGATAATTATTAACAGATGAGAAAGGAATAGATGTGTGAAGCAAGTGCAATGACACTACTCTTCAAGAAAAGATTCCTTAGAGTGTAGTGAATAACTGCCGCATCAGCATTTTGCAATAATTTTGACCAATTCTTCTCTAGCTGGATGTCAGGACCAAATCAGATGCCAAATATCTTGTACAGGTCATATGCCCAACTGAAGTCACTTAGAAAAAAACAACATCTCTACAAGCTCAACCCCAAGATAAATGTCACTATCTCATACACTCTAATTTCTACATAAACTGACACAAGTGCTTGTAACAATGTTAAAGGAAATTAAGAAAATAAGCATCCAAGTACACACGCAAAGTAGGTAAAGCTTTCTTGGCTTCTCCTTTTCAAAATCTGTCGTTATCATCATTTTGTGCACACATTTGGCTGCGAAAATATAACTGTAAAGTATGTTGATAGATTTCAATATTTGGCATCCCTACACCATCTTTGAAATGATGATGGCAACATAACTTCCGATATACCTATGAACATTAAAACAGTCTAAACAGGGTTCTGCCAAGTTTAAATAGTTTGGTATATGGGAGTGGAAGTTCTGACAATTCAACAAAGGATTAATGGTTCGGAAACTTGGTTAACATATCTTGAAGACTGCACCAAATATGGTTTACCTATATCCATGTTGGTTCTAATCTCTTTAAATATTCCTTTCAGATTTTGTCAACCATGTCAGGGCTGGTGATAGTTCTTGATAAAATTTAATATACAAATATATATAAGTACCACTCCTAACAGCCTCTTTGTCTAAATTGGATCAAATATACCACAAAATCACTTTCTTTATCTGATTTTTATCACATTGAGGCACATGAAACATTTAGGAGCAAGGGTCCCATTTCAGAAGAAGGAATCCAAGAAGCATTGAGCCTTGCTTAGGAATTGTATTTGAGGTTGTTACACATGTATGCTCCCTTGATATGTTAAATACAAAGTTGAAGATTTTGGCTAAGATTTTAAATCAACTGTGGGTTATGCTGGATTGTCTACCATGATGATATCCATTATATATATATATATATATATATATATATATATATATATATATATAAATAGATAGATAGATAGATAGATAGATAGATAGATAGATAGATTCTATCCTGCTGTTATTGGATTTATAAACCTCAATGAACTGAAACTCTTCTTTATAGTAACATCCAACACAGTATACATGCCATGTCTATGAAGAAAAGCAAACATGTTACATTCAGAAAATTTGTGGCCAAGAATTGTTAATATAAAATTTTTGTATTGCCAATACCGAGGATGTGAGATGATCATCTCTTTGTGGACAAGAGAAGCAACTTAGAGGAGGTGTAGAGTTGGTAGGGCTTGCATATTGTTCTCAATATATCAAAGGCCACTCACTTATCTTTCCCCATTCTTAAGTAGATCTTGCCTCATATTCATCCATCATATACACAAATCCAACTTGACTGCAATTCACAATAATAAGAATAACATTGAAAATTCTTTTAATAAATGAAAAGAAAATATAGAAAACATAAAAACATGTAATAGAATAAGGAACAAAGGGGAAACGTTTATAAATTTAACATTTTTCTTTTATTTAATCATCACCAGAATTTTTTTTAAATAAATTCTGGAAGAGAAAGTATCGGTACATTTAGTACTGTATTGTTTGTTTTCCACTGTGTCTTTGTCATCTGTGCACATGTGTGCATATGGATTTCAGTGAGCAATTTTATTTAAATTTGGTGTATAATACTTGAAGAAGGTAATGGAATGTCAGCATGCCTGAATGACTGTGTATCATGTTTCTAGCAGGATTTAGGTAATAATGTACATGCGTGTGTCTAGTTGTCATTTTTGTTTGTCTGGTACAGTCCATGTGTTAAAAGATGTATAAAATATAAAGATGTATAAGTGTAAAAGGACAATTATTTATTAGTAAGAATTTATTATCAAAATGCACTACAAGAAGCAATAAGCAGAGAAGGATTGATGACAAGTTAAAAAAGAAGTAAAAGCTCAAAGAAAAAATATTTTCCAAAATGTGATAAAAATTGTGGCAGAATTCTTTTATTTTCTATAATACTAATCACTTTATAGTTGGGATTGTCTTTATAAGAATCTTCCGAGTAAAGATGGTGGAGTCAAAAAACAGGGAAACTTGATGAGAGTGGAATGAAATAACAGATTTATTCCTTCATGAAAAGAGAATGAAATCAAATAGCAGAAAGACTTATTTCTCACTATTTAATGGAAGCTTAAAATGAAAACGTGCCATGTTTTTAATGGATGTAAAATAAATATCTCCTGTTTTACTCCAAGTTCTCTTCAATTTAAGGCGGTGGAGAACTTTGAGAGGGGAATTAACAGGAGATAATTGACAACTGACATCCATTAAAAACATGGCACATGGAACTAGAACAGTCAACCTCAGTGAGTGAAATAAAGGGTTCAGTTCGACATTCCAACCACCTGAAGAAGGCCGGAGCATACTACGGCCGAAACGTTGTAATAAATATGGCGACAAAGATGAGGACAATAGTCCGAATAATGTAAATAGTGTACATAATACCTCATCTCAGAAATATAGAGAGATACAGACTTATTCCTTCATGAAAAGAGAATGAAATCAAATTGCAAGGAAATTTATTCATTCATGAAAAGACAATGAAATCAAATAGCAGAGAGATTTATACCTCCATAAAGTGAATATAAAATAATATAAAAATTGTAGAATTCTTTTAGTTTATATAAAATTAATCACTTTGTATGTGTGATTGTCTTGTTTATAAACATATCCCAAGTAAAGAGGGTGGAGTCAACTAACAGGGAAACTTATAAGTGAACAGCATGGAATCAAATAATATGGAGACTTCAGGATAAAGTTAAAAGTCAGGGAGACTTATTTGCCCATAAAAAGAAGAAAAAAAATCAAATTGCAAGGAGAACTGTTTGTCCATATAAAGCAGAAAAACTCCAAAAAGAGAGAGAATTATTCATATGTAAAAAGAGGATAAACTCAAATAGCAAGGAGACATTACTCAATAAAACTTGTTTTATAACTCCCAGTCAAACTGACAAGAATTTAATACAGACAGCCAATAGATTAAGTCTTCACTGAAATCAATTATTTGTTTATACTTTTAATATAATTTTTGATTTCTTCTTTATCCTGATTACTCAAAGTGTTTATCCAATAATTATTGAAGCTGTATTTTAAGCTATCGAGTATTTTGTTCTGCTTGATAAGATCAGCAAAGAATTTCAGCCATTCTACCATTAACTGCTCCTCATTGATTTTCTAAGGAAATGAAGATCCTGATTTAATTACCATACATTTGTCAGACCTGCAAATAAAAAGAAACAAAGGAAATTCAATAAAAACAAATGGAATGCTTAAATGAAAAAGATTAACTATAAAATAAATATATAAGAATTTGCTGAAAGGTTCTTAGTTTAATCATGTGTGTGTGTGTGTGTGTGTGTGTGTGTGTGTGTGTGTGTGTGTGTGTGCATTAAGATGTTCAGAGGGTATTTATATATTTCACTGTTGTGAATTAGGAATCAACCAATCAAGGTAAAATGAAGGTTACAAAAATGTGTCTAGAATTAGAATTCTAACCAATAATGTCTTGCTTAGAGCATTTAAAAGTTTAACCCTATCGTAGATTATACATTTTTAAAGTAACATATTCATCTTTGCTTATTGCAAGGAATTCCCAAAAGGGTAATACTTCTACAAAGACATTCATAAATATTTCAACACTGAATACAGATGCTGGTAAGACTCAAACATGGTAGATATGATTGTGACCTAACTGACAAGTGTCATTCTTGAAGACCACCCATTCTAAAAGAAGAACTGAATTAGATTCTTATCAAAGCAACAGAGATCTGACAAAATCTTTTATGTGTCATATTCAACTGTCTACGATCAGCCTCAGTAAATCGGGGAAAAACTTGCAAAAAAACTTGTGAACTAAACACAACATTCCATCATTTTAAAGCAGTCTTTTAATCCAAAATGCCAATTTTTCAATTTTTGTTGAACATTATTACAGGTGATGAAAAATGGGTTTTGCATGTCAAGAGAAAACAAAAAAAGATAATGGTTATCAGAAAATGAGAAACCAGTGTCAACATCAAAATCTGGATTCATTCAACAGGAATCCTTATTTTGTGTCTGGTGGAATATGAAATGAAAGTTATTGTCAATTAAAAGCTACTGGAACATGGAAGGACCATCATTTCAGATTTTTACTGCCACCAACTTAAGTGAGTAAATGAAGTATTATGCTGAAAATGTCCTGCTTTGGTAAATAAAAAATGGTGTTATTTTCCAGCATGTCAATTCAACTGCACACTCTGCAAAAAGATCATTAGGATAGTAAGTTCTTCCACATCATCCAAACTCACCAGATTTAACAATTACAGAAACAAAGAAGTTGAAAACAGTCTTTCAAACTTCTTTTTTTTAATGGAGAGATGTCTTTAAATGTGGAACTGAAAATTTGGGAATCAGTCATAGAAAATGAAGATGATTACATTTCTGATAAATAATATTTAAATAAAATTAACTTACATTAATTTTTATATCATTTGTGGTAAAACTTAATTTTGTAAGACTCTAATATATAAACAGATTTTTTTTAGACATTAGAAACCAACACTGCATGAGTGACTGTAATTTTTTTCACATCTCAAGTAACCTTCAGAAATGGTTTCAGCATTAGATGAGGTGTGAAACTGACAGTCACAATGCAGTGTTGAGTTCTGAATCCAGAATGTCTATATCTGCAAATGCTGTTAATACTCTTCCTTCATAAATATAGCAAATTTTAAACAATGTAATTGTATAGAATCATAGATCACTTATTGGGTAAACTCCAATAATGGCTTGGACCTACTTTTGCCATGTATCTATGTATTATTCCCAAAAACTTAGAAAAAAAAAATTCAACACCTGGAAGGATGCTTCCACTACCCCAAATGATTGACAAGTTCAAACACAGGATACCAGCCCCAAGGGGACGCCCAACTGGTTAACATGCTCATTTTTATATATATATATATATATATATATATATATATATATATATATATATATGTGCAATTGTACATTTAGGACTTGACTATTATTTGATCATCTAACATGAAGATATTAAGGATAGAAATAATTTATGGTAAGATTCTTCAAATATAAGAGTGCAACATGAGAAATGCCAATTTCCTTAGACGTATATCAACCTGGATAACCTATAGGGAATTCTAAACTGAATCCTTTAATTAATCTATGGGGCTAGATTTTTCTCACTCCACTGCCCATGTCTAGGGATATCTTATCTTGCTCTTATATTTAATACAGCTCAATTATTGCTCATTCATTTCCACTAAGTCCAACTAAACACTGCCAGGCTCAGGATAGGAATAATTAACAATAAAATTATTAAAATATAAGAGCTCAACATGGGAACTTGGAATTTCTGTCTGAATTTCTGGGATGAGGTGTTATCGTTATTTGTACTACTTACATTCTGACTATTGAACTCATCCTTGTTGTCATTATCACAATGTTTCATTTGTTGTGTACTCTGGCCTTTTACAGGTATATATTGATCAAGGTAACCTACAGGGAATTCAAGATTGAATCCTTGATATCTTGTCTATTTGTTATTTTTAGTCTTGCTCGGTTATTACTTATTCATTTCAACTGAATCCAACTACACTCTGCCTGGCCCAGTATAGAGACAATTAACAATAACATTCTTTAAGTATAAAACCTCATCATGAGGCTCAAAGATTCCAGTGTTAAGAGAAATAATTTTGTGCAGAAAATAAAGAAACCTCATAGAATTATTTAGTATCTCAATGAATTTGGTGACATAGTAATTGTGAGTTCAATCCCTAGGCCAGGCAAAGTGCACTTGGACTCAGTGGAAATTAGCAAGCCACAACTGAGCAATATTAAAAATAAATAAAAACATCATCCCAAAAGTGCTTTTCTTTATATTTTCTTGGCATACATTGGGAGCATTAGTACCAATAAAAAATTGTTTAAATGTCACAGCATACCTAGTTAGTGTGACTGACTACAAGCCTCAATTGACAACTATGGTACACACATCCTTTAGTGTTTACTTCCAGCAGGACTATGCTGTGAGCCACAAATGAAAAATAGTAGTAGATTGGTTTATGAAAGGAGTTTTCATGTTAAAGTCACCAGATCTCATCCCTATAAAGCACCTTTGGGATGATTTTCAACTGGGGTATGTCAATTTTTTCACTTTTATTACTAAATTAGTACTAAAATAATGAAGGATATTTAAACTATAAATAATTTTAAAAAAGACATAAGTTGAAATTACTTAAAACCTAATTTCATAATTGATGACAGCTTGTATCCAAATATGCTTGTCTACTAGAATGTCTAACCAATCTTTGAAAGACACCTGCTCAGGCATATTTGTGTTTATTCAACA